AGCTCAAACTTTGCTTCTTATACAATTCTTCAAATAAAGAAACTAAGTAAGCTTCCTTGAAAAAATCCAGGGTCAGGACAGGAAAACCAAACAAGGAAAATGGGGAGAGACTCATAGATAGAGAGCAGGATGCAGCTAGTAGGAAGGTAGAGGTTAGAGGGTGGAGGGATTGAGCAAAATGGAAATAGAACTCATGGACATGGACAACAATGTGGTGATTGCTGGGAGGAGGGTGTATAAGGGGACTAAATGGTAATGGAAAAAAAATACAATTAAAGATTAAATTTTTTTAAAAAGCCGCAAACACTTTTTGCTGGCAAAACATGAAGTGCTAAAAAAAATTATAGAAACGTGAAAAAAAGATAAGGAGCCAACTTGAAAAGACTTTGAATAGCCAAATCTAGGACAATTTCAACTAAAAAATAAACAATGATTATACTGAACAGAATGAAATATAAAACCATGATTCTATACTGGTAGGTAAACAAATAAATACATAAATGGTGGAGACGAGAAAGCTTTTCCTTACAGAAGAACTGAAACTAACACATGTAGAAGAAATTACATAAATAGAAAATCAGATGAAAAAATATTTTAAAAAAAGAAAACCAAAGAGAAAAAAAAAATCATCATTAATCGTTATTACCACAGTAAGCGAAAAAGCAAGATTCATCAATGGATGCTAAAATTATTGTATGATGGATGAGAAACTAGTATGATAACAAAGATATTTACAAAATTTCAAAGTTCCTCTTCACAAGATACGTATTAAATAAAAGAGGGAGAAAAAAACGGAAACCTTACACCAGAAAAAACTGGCAGATACTACTTTAACTAAGTGATTAAAGTAAACATCACTATGGGCTTCCTGATACGATGCACTAAGGATGGTATGACATCAGTTCTGTGGAATTCTTGCCAAAAATGCATAACTTGAATTTAACAATGAGGAATCATCAGACAAGTGTAAACTGAGGGACATTCTAGAAATCATTTTGCCAGTATTCAGAAGTGTCAACACTGAAAGGCAAAGAAAAAGAGAACCATTCTAGACTAAAGGAGATTAAGGAGACATGACAACTAAATACAAAGTGTGAGCTAGACAGGGTCCTGAACCAGAAAAATGACATTACTGGGACAAACGGTGAGTTTTGAAAAGCTGAGAAATTAGATGACAGTATTGCATCAATGCTAATTTCCTTATTTTTATAATTGTACTGTGGTTACATAATCTGGGGAATCTGGGTAGAGGAGTATACAGGAATTATTGTTACAACTGCTTTATAAGTCTAAAATTATTTTTAAAAAAGCTAAAGAAAGTATAAAAGCCCCATGAGTAAATATGCTTGGCACATGTAAGCACTCAAAACAGCTATTCATATTATAATTCTCCAGTATATTAAGCCTCCTAACTTCTTTGTTATTCATTTAGTAAATATTTTACTGAGTGTCTACTATGTGCTCAACAAAGAGAAAAGGAAGGAAAAAAGAAGAAAGCAAGCAAGCCAGGCAGGGAGGCAGACAGGCAGATAATCTTACTAAGGGATTCCTAGAACAGCTGAGAGTGTCCACTTCAAATACACTCATGTCCATTTACAGTCTTATTCTCTCTCTTTCAAGCTGAGTAATTCCAAGTCCTACTTAATTCTTGCTCTCCACTTTCCAAATTCCTGTCCCCAGCTTTGTTATCAAAATGCATATATTCTAAAAACACGGATCAAATCCCAGGTATTTGACTTTGTCACAACTTAAGTTTCTCTGACCCCCTCCTACTCATTTATAAAACTGAAATGTCTTCAACCAACTTTATAGGATTTTTGTGAGATTTTAAACGGGAATAAATACAAGTAACTGGCACATAGTAGATGCTCAAAAAAATGTAAATTGCCTTTCCCTTACAAGTCATACAGGCGACCCTTGAACAACACAGGGTTTAAGGGTGCCAACCCACTGGCACAGTCAAAAATCCATCTATAACTTCTGACTCACCCAAAACTTAAGTTGTCCTTTGGTGTCTGAGGGAGTATTGGTTCCAGGACTCCCCACCTCCCCAGATGAATACCAAAATCTGCATATGCTTAAATCCTCTATATAAAATGGTATAGATCAAATGCATATAGTCAGTAGACTCCCAACCACAAATTGAAAACAGTACAGGTATTTACTGAAAAAAACACACATATAGATAGGCACATGAAATTCAAACTTGTGTTGTTCAAGGGCCAACTGTACTTTCTAACTATTGTAGGACCCTGAAGTATAGGTCAACAATTGCTTTACTAATCTCTAAGTGAGCCCCTGTTCTATTTTCCAAAGAAGCTATTTTGTACTTTCACGTACATATTTTAAAAAGTAAATATAAGTAATATATTTATTTTATCCATTTTAACAGCTTCAGTATCCACTAAAAATTCAAATAACTGAAAAATATGCATAACTTCCTCCTTCTCAAACATCAACTATTTCTAGCAGCCTCTCAAAACATTTAGATTTTCTCTCTCGGCCAACCTAAAACTTGAGATTCCAACATCATGCTCTGCTGCCACCTATTGGCTGTTACCATACTCTCCAGATATTTCCTTTGTTTTTGGAGTCCTAAGCCACCCTTAAAATGCAAGTCTCATTCTACTCAGATGAGATGTTCCTAGTGCCTGTAAAGAGTTCAAGCACAATCAATTTAAATCTAACACAACCAAAGATGTATACCTGACAATTTACATTTTCTAGGCTCTTTTCCTATTTTATTTTACATTATAGATGTTATAGTTGTCTGTGAAAAAAATAAACTCCAAAGTATAGGTAGTGAAGTGTCTGATGGACAAAAACAGCTTTCCTAAAGCTAGATGTGTTGTCATATGGAAATACTCTTAATTAGAAAACCAACTAAAAATTGTAGAACTACAAACAGTAAAAACAGCTACAGTTTCAAACACTACATGATTCCACCATGCCTTCTATTTCTGTATTTTCTTCTAAAAATATTCATACAATATTTTACCCTCATATAGCAATGGTAAACTCAATCATATTAGAAGAATGTACTGTACTGAACTGCTGAACATGGAAAAGCTTTCTTGCCCAATCCTACCCTGAAAAAAGAGAATTAATAGTTGTTTATTCTATTCCACCCAAACACTTAAATGATTTGCTCGCCCTGGCTGAGTGGCTCAGATGGTTGAAGCACTGTCCCCATACACCAAAAGGCTGCGGGTTCTCTTGCAGATCAGGGCACATACCTAGGTTGCAGGTTCGATACCTGGTCAGGGTATGAACAGGAGGCAACCCGATTGCTGTTTCTCTCTCATATCAATGCTTCCTTCTCTTTCTCTCCCTTCCTCTCTCTCTAAAGTCAATAAATATATCCTCAAGGTGAGGATTAAAGCAAGTGATTTGCTCAATAAAAAGTCATGACACGCCAACACCAATGCAAACACACACAGAGTTTAAAATGATGAACTTCAACTTTATTGGCAGTTGCTTAATTTGCGGGTCTCTCTTTTCAAACCACATTAAATTTCAAAACACTTTCCTCATTAATTCAAAGAAAACAGACCATGAATAGTCACAACAACTTTTTCATGCAGTAAGCAAGAAAAAGATGCCACGAAAGAAGAAGAGTAAGAAACTCTTTAACTTGCTTTAATGCAACTTGCCAACAATAGTAAATGGTGACCTAGTGGTTACATGCAAGGGTACAAAGAAGCATACAACATGGTTCAGTCTTCAGAGGTTGACAGTGTAGTCAGGAATACAAAATTCAAACACAGAAAAGGAACAAAATAAAGCAGAGTATTAATTGACAAATAATTGGTATAGATAATATTTATGACAAGTATGAAGGGTTGAAACAGTAATAAGAGCAAAGGTGTACCTTTATAGGAAAGGAGGGGCTCACGCTAAGAGTTAACAGCAAGGGAATTTCAAGCCATTGAGAATAATGAGTATGCAATGCTGTAGTCCAAACAGTAAAGCATGTTGTTTAATACAAATGACTGAACCAGTTTAGCTGAAAGAAAAATATACAGAAAACCAGTGGGACAGCATTAGAAAAAGAAATGGACTGAATGGTGGAAGGTACTGAGTCATTAGGCTTATGAATCCAGAAGACAATGAGAAAGTCACTGGAAACACAGTATAGGGTAACATTTCTACATTATTTGAGGGGTGAGGGCCTGGGGGAGGAGTTTAACCTTGTAGCAGTGTTTAACAGACTGAAGGAAGCTGAGAGACCAAACCTTGTTATTTCAGTAGTTCAGAATAATGCTAAAGGTGTGAACTAGATGAATGTGGGGGGGGAAAAAAAGAATGAAATTTGGTATGAGGGGACAACTGATAGAACCTGGTCAATGATATGAAGTTAGACATGTACAAGGCACAGGAAGGTATTCAAAATGTTTCCAAAGCTTTAAAACTGGAAACAGAAGTATCATGAAAAGAAACATAAGACAGAAACCCATTATTAATAAATTTTCCAACTGAAATGTTTCTAAACAAAAATTCTATTTGTTTAACATGATAAAACACAAACCCAAAGGTCAGCCAATTTCAGAATGATATCTGAATGTTGTTGTTAACAACATTCATGCTCAAATATAACAAAGAAACATCCTATAACACTAAAGCATAAACCACATATCATAAATATATGTGAATTAGTAACTATTTTATCCAGATCCACACTGCTGTTCGTTTTATACAAATGACTCCCATTACTTGAATTACCATACATTTCATATTTAAAATAAACAGTTTGAGACCCAGTTATTCTGCCTAGTGAATTATATAAATAAAAGGAATGTATGCTGGGATAGAGATTCTCAATAGGCTAATCTAAACAGACTAGAAACACTAAATTGCAAACTGACTTACTATCAAATCCTTTATAAATAAATAGATTCATACCTTCCGTGTTCTAAGTCTCCAAAAAAAGTAATCAGATTTTGAAAAAATAAAAACTACAATATATCACACTAGACAAGTTTCATGAGTTTCTTGGTTACCTTTACTTTATCTCTTCTCAAGCAACAGAACAGACAATTTTCATCGAAAGTCCAATCAGAAATGCTTTCAGGTTCACAGTCTGCAAAAATAGTAGGAATAACAAATAAATAGTCACAAATGAAGATTTTTTTAGGAAACAAATTGTCAAAAATATTATTTTAACAAAATACCCTCACTAAGAAGTAGACAGGTTCCCATTTGTGTTAAAAATCTTAACATTAACTGCTCACTAATGAATATACCATATTCATATATATATTTGCATCATCAACTAAACACAAAAAGATGCTCACATGGATGTAACTTTAACTAAAATAAACTATGACTAAAAAGGAGGAGACTGAGGCTTAAATCACCAAGGTATCGAATGTCACCAGGATGATTTTTAAATACCAAAAAAAGATTTAGAATACCTTTAAATAAACTGAGATCTTTTAATAATGCAGGTCCAAACAGCCCTTCAAGAATACTTTCAAACCCTGAAAGGATGAAAAAATCCATTATTACAATATTCCCTATTGTAATTTGATATTAATCTGTTACATGAAAAAAATGATGGGGTTTTCTTCCAGTTCTCAAGGATCCCCAGATTATTACTGAAGAGATGCTAAGGAAAGAGTGTCAATGACATAGCTAAAAGGAGAATCTGCATTTTTGTCAATGATTAACATTCAATACAAATTCAGAGCACGTTCAAGAACAATACAAAACAGACAATGCTAGAAATAACCAATGAAGGATGGAAACTCACGGGTTCTCTTACCATCTTACAAAATCCCGAGTAAGCTCTTTATATAAACATTCAAACTCCATTTTAAGAGATGCCTTTCCCAATGAAAGAGTCAAATTGCTTCAAAATTGCTACAACATTCTAGATTAATCAAAAATAGTATGTTTCTAAATATCAACAGAGACAATAAATTTTCAAGCTAATAGTTTTTTGAAGGAAAATTCTCACTGAAAACAAGATCTAATCACTATGGGAAAAAAATTATATAATATTTTAACAGAAAAACACCTTTGTGATTATTTCACACTGTCACAATAACTACTTACTGGTTCCTTTATGACGCCAGAAACCACTAATTACACATACAAAACACAGAAGAAAAAATTTAAATATACCTGTACATAAATGTTTAAACTATTATCATCTCGTACCAGTATAAAGTAGAAAAACAAACATACACTAAACAGTTTCTGATTTATTTCATCAAATATTGCCAATGAACACAATAAAAACCAATTTAAAAATATCTTTATTTTCTTGTTGTTTTCTATGGGTTATTTAAGAGGAAAAAGAAAGGAATTAGACTGTACCTTTATACATGACAGAAATAATGGGTTAGAGCAGTGGTTCCCAAACTATATGTTGTGTACCTCAATGAGTCTCAAGGGGTTACAAGGGGTATGTGAACCCATATGTACTGTATGCATGACCTTTACAAAGAGTCAGTGTCTTGTGCGTTTAGTGTATATACTTTCCAAATGCAAAGAAATGTTATTGTAATGAAGAAAATATAAAAAGTTACCGAATTTCCAGTAGTTAAGGGCATTATGAATTTTGTGACATAATTATCACTTAAGGATTTGTAATTTTTAATTATTAAAAAGTATTTTTATGTTCAAAAGGGAGTGAGCACTAATTTAAAATAGTATAGGGAGGGGGATATATAAGGTCCATGCACAGGTATCATTTCCTTATCACAAATCCAATCACTGTAAAACCTCTGGAAGGTCAGGGGTCAGATAAGATGGTCCCTGGAAACAGTATTCTATATGGTTATAAGGATACACTATGCCCTGGCCAGGCAGGTCAGGTGGTTAGAATGTCAACCCAACACGCCAATGTTGAGGGCTCAATCCCAGTCAGGGGACATACAAGAATCAACCAATGAATGCATAACAAGTGGAACAACAAATCAATGTCTCTCTCTCCCCCCCACCCCACTCCTTCCTCTCTCTCTAAAATCAATAAATAAAAATTGTATCTTTCGATTTCCAGTCAAGATGGAGGTGTAGGTAGACATGCTTTGCCTCCTCATGCAACCACAGAGAGAATTACAACTATATCTCAAAACAAAAAACAACCAGAACTGTCAGAAATCGAGCTGTATGGAACTCCGACAACCAGGGCTTTAAAGAAGCCACATTCATCCAGACAGGTAGGAGAGGTGGAATTCAAAGAAACAGATGGAGAGACATGGAGATGCAGTGTGGCATGGAGAGGTGGCAGTAGCAGTGGTGGAATAGGCAGTCCCACACTCACATGTGGTGGATAAAAAATGGGAGGGGTACCTTGGGAGCAAGCAACCAACCCCAGCCCCAGGCCAACCACACCACCCAGGGTTCCAGCACTGAGAAGATGAATCCCATAACTTCTAGTTGTAAAAACCAGTGAGGGTTGGAGTGGGGGAAGAAACTGCCAGATTTTCAGGAGAATCTGTTTAAAAGGCCTGCACAGACTTACCCACATGGGATTCACCACCAGGACAACAGCTGGAAGGGTGGCGGTCACATATGGGAAGTAGGTGAAGTGACTGGAAATGAGGTGAGTGCTGGGCAAACTTCCAGAAGCCAGGCAGCAGCATCGTCCCCCCACACAGAGCCACAAAGCAGTGAAGTGGGTTGTCCTGCCCTGGCAATTACCAAAGGCTCTGACACACACAGTTTATAGGTGCCTCTTCTAAGACAGGCAGTCAAAGCAGCTCTACCTCATACACAGAAACAAACACAGGGAGGCTGTCAAATTGAGGAGACAAAGAAACATAGTCCAAATGAAAGAACAGAACAAAACCCCACAAAAAGAACTAAACAAAATGGAGATAATCAACCTCTCAGATGCAGAGTTCAAAACACTGGTGATCGGGGATGCTCAAAAAACTCACTAAGTAAGGCAAAACATAAGAAAGAAATGAAGGTTACACTAAGTGAAATTAAGAAAAATTGACAGAGAACCAAGAGTGGAAAGGATGAAGCTGAGAATCAAATCGATGATTTGGAACATAAGGAAGGTAAAAGCATTCAATCACAACAGCAGGAAGAAAAAAAAGAATTCAAAAAAAATGAGGAGAGGCTTAGGAACCTCTAGGAGAACTTTAAATGTTCCAACATCCGAATCATAAGGGTGCCAGGAGAAGAAGAGCAAGAAACTGAAAACTTAACTGAAACAATAATGAAAGAAAACTTCCCCAATGTGGCAAAGGAAATAGACACGCAAATCCAGGAAGCACAGAGAGTCCCAAACAAGTTGGTCCCAAAGAGGACCACATCAAGACACATTATAATTAAAATGCAAAGGTTAAAGATAGAGAGGATCTTAAAAACAGAAAGAAATTAGTTGCCTACAGGGGAGTTCCCATAAAACTGTCAGATGATTTCTCAAAAGAAACAATGCAGGCAAGAAGGGACTGGCAAGAAGTATTCAAAATCATGAAAAGCAAGGACCCACAACTTAGATTACTCTACCCAGCCAAGCTATCATTCAGAATAGAAGGGCCGATAAAGTTAAAGGAGTTCATCATCACCAAGCCATTATTACATGAAATATTAAAGGGACTTATTTAGGGGAAAAAAAAAAAGATGATTAAAAGTATGAGCATTAAAAGGGCAACAAATTCACAACTATCAACAACTGAAACTAAAAAAAACAAACTAAGCAAACAACCACAACAGGAACAGAATCACAGATATGGAGATCATTTGGAGGCTTATAAGGTGGGAGGGAGGAGGAGAAGAATGAAGGAAAAGGTGCTTGGATGAAGCATAATTGGTAGGTACAAAATAGACAGGGTGATGTAAAGAACAGTATAGGAAATGGAGAAGCCAGAAAATTATATGCATTACCCATGGACATGAACTAAAGGGAAGGGTTCAGGTTCCTGGCAGAGAAGGACAAAAGGGGAAAGTCAGGACAACTCTAATAACATAATCAATAAAAAATATTTTTAAAAATTTGTATTTTAAAAAAAGAATAACATTGTAATTTTAGGGATTTCTTTCTACTTAGAATTAAGCCATAATTTTCAATAGAGTAATCCCTAGAATTTGTGTTATCTGCATTACAGACAGTTGATTTTTCTACACTATTTTCTAGATTCTCTATTTCTCATTTATGATCAAGGAGCAACTGTTTTTCAATTCCCCTTAGTTCTTCACATCAAAATTATACCAAGAACATTAGCAAGCTCAAACTACCCAGTTAAGAAAATGGGAGGTATCTATGCCTGTTTATTATTTCCCTACTATAATTAAAACATTTCCAACTTAATTACTATGGCATTTCTTACCTACACTAAGGAGAAGAAGGGGTTGCACTGGGGGTTTTGAGGGTGGGGAGATGGTGGTAGGTAAGAGAATAAGACAGAATTGCCAGATACTGTTTATCTCTGCAAACTAGAGAGTCTCAATACTAGTCTTTAAAAAAACGAAACAAAACAAAACAAATCCCACAGGCTGCCTCCAACTCTAAAGCCCTCATACGCCACAAAAGGAACTGATTTTATTTCAATATCTTGGAAGTACCAAGTACACACTGCAAATAGCTAAAGGAGATTACAGGTGGCTCTTATCCTGAAGAGCAAAGTTAATATGCTTTCACCTGGGTTTATAAGGAATTATAACAAATCCCAAACTTGCATGCTATGCATAAATTCCTGAAAAGGAAAAATGTAAATACAATGAGAAATAATACTGGGAAACAACACCACCACCACCACCACCACCACCACCACCACCACACAAGCTTTGAAAGATAGGATTTTAACAATTACAAAGGACAACAGAACCTGAAACAATATAAAAACAATAAAAACTTCATCAACAGCACACAGACACAGTAAAAAAACCAAATCACAGATCAAAAAGCAGTGAAAGACCAAAAGGAAACAAGACAAATCTGATCATAAATACACAACTAATTTTGATCAAAATATTAACTGTAAACAAGTCACTCTTCTTTTACTCATCTCTGCAATAATAAATTAACCCTCACAAATATTATTGATTTGACACTGTAAAGCCATATTTTGCTATCCTCTGTTAACTGAATTTAATGCTACTCAGTTTTATTAATATTAAATATTGAATTTAGCAGTTGCGTAGCAACAAGGAATGTCTCATGTGCCATGCTTGACATTAACAAAAGGCAAATAAGGAAAGAACAAATGTACTCAAAATTTATATCATGACCTCACAGAAAAGCCATGAAGATCAATAACAAAATGTCATGAAAAATTAAATAAATACTGAAAAAGACAGCCATGTCATTATATTCAATCACTAGGGCTTAAAAAGCACATTCATGTAATATATTACATATAAAGAAATATTAATAATTTTACTGGACATGACTACTTTCCAAGAATTCCTACATTACAAATCATCTCAAAGCCAGTCTCCAGACTCTTCCTCACTGCAACCTGCATTGTCTCTTCAGACTACATTCCTAAAACACTGCTTTAGCAATGCTACCATCTGT